AAAAAAAAAAAAAAAAAAAAAAAAAAAAAGGATATTTGAAACGTTGCAAAAAGAAGTTGGTGAGGAGTGCTGTCTGAAATGACACACACAGGAGCAAAGAGAAACCCTTACCAACTAAGAACTTCAAAGTCTGCTGAATCCACTACAGATGATGATGATCAGAAAATTTAGAAGACAAAGATTCACTGATTTGGACACTTGAAAAGTTTGCCAGTTTTTCAGTAGACAAAGGTGAAAAAGAGGTATGATCCTCAAAGATCCTACAATGAAACGAAGCTTTCATTTCACCTGAGAAATTAACAACATGCCTATAAACACTGCAAGATTTTTTGTGAAGGAAAGGAAAAGAAGAACTAGCTTCCTATAGCTAAGCGTCTGCAAATAAGATGGAACATTTAATGGTTACAGATCTTCAGCCCTCAAGCCAAACAGATCCTGACATTAGTATTATATAGCCTCATGAAATGAGTCCACGTCTATAATTGCAACTTGGTTCTTCCGACATAGATGATAGTCCTGATGGCCTGTCAAGATTCAAGTTAACCTGATGTCTCACTACTTACCCACTGTGCCATACATTTAGTCATCGCAACACATCAAAACATTAGGTACCACAGAATAATCATCATTATAATCATTATACTTGGGTTATCAAGAGAGAAGACCCAGGATTTTGGTGAGCGTTAACACATTAAACAAGAGCGATATGTGAGGGCTGAAAGAAACTTTAATGGCCTGGCTGACACATACTATGTCGACAGGCTCACAATTACTGCATCTGTACTGAAAGTACATAGACTCTTTTCCTTATCACGATTCCCTAAACAATACAATAGAACAACTATTTGCATAGCTTTTACAATGCATGAGGTATTTTAAGTAATCTAGACATGATTGAGAGTATACAAGAGGATGGGGGTAGGTTACATACAAATATTTCATTTTATAAAAGGGACTTGAAATGGCTCACAGAGTGCTGGAACCAATACCCAGCATGTATCAAAGGATAACTGCATTCGAAAGAAACTGAAACTACTTAAGGCTTTCCCAAAGGGCTTACATTCACAGGGTTTATCTCCAATGTGTTTCTTCCAAATTTCTGAAATAAAATAAATAAATGCTTTCCCACATTCCATACATTTACAGAGTATCTTTCCAGTGAGTCTTTTTATGTCTATGCAAGGAATTGAGAGAAGCAAATGCTTTCCCGCATTCCTTACATTCATAAGGGTTCTCTCCAGTGTGAGTTTTTTCATGTCCTTGAAGGAAACGAGAATGAGTGAAGGCTTTACCACATTGTTTACATTCATAGGATTTCTCTCTCATGTGAATTCTTTCATGTCGTAGAAAGCAAGTGAGCCAAGAGAATGCTTTCCCACATTCCTTACATTCATATGGCTTCTCTCCAGAGTGAATTCTTTCATGGACTTTTAAGTTACCAAAATGACTGAAGGCTTTCCTACATGTTTGACACTCATAAGGTTTCTCTCCTGTGTGAGTCCTTTTATGTTGAGAAAGGTATTGGTAACAACTGAATGCTTTCCCACATTCCTTACATGCATATGGCTTCTCTCCAGCATGAGTTGTTTTGTGATTTTGAAAGGAATAGAAATCAATAAAGCCTTTCCCACATTTGCATTTATAGGGTTTCTCTCCAGTATGAGTTGTTTCATGTCTTCGAAGGGAACTGGAAATACGGTAGGCTTTGCCACATTGTTTACATTTATAGGGTTTCTCTGCAGTGTGAGTCCTTTCATGTCTTAGAAATACACTGGGATAAACAAAGGCTTTCCCACATACCTTGCATTTATGAGGTCCATCTCCAGTGTGCATTGTCATGTGTCTTCGAAAGCTTGAGCTATGAGATAATGCTTTCCCACACTGCTTGCATTCATAGAGCTTCTCTCCAGTGTGAGTTCTTTCATGACTTTGCAGTGAACTGGGACAATCAAAACCTTTCCCACATACCTTACATTTATGAGGTCCATCTCTAGTGTGTGTTATCATGTGTCTTTGAAAGCTTCCCAGATGATGAAATGCCTTCCCACATTGCTTACACGCATAGGGTTTCTCTCCAGTGTGAGTTGTTTCGTGTCTTCGAAGGGAAGTGGAGGCACTGAAGGCTTTCCCACATTGTTTACATGTATAGGGTTTCTCTCCAGTGTGAGTTCTTTCATGTCTTAGACAAGAGCTGTAATCAGGGAAGGCTTTAGAACACTGCTTACATTCATATGGTTTCTCCCCAGTATGCGTTCTTTCATGTCTTAGATAGGAACTGTAAAAAGAAAAGGCTTTAGAACACTGCTTACATTCATACGGTTTCTCTCCAGTGTGTGTTCTTTCATGCACATTTAATAAACTGGGCCAGAAAAAGGCTTTCCCACACAACTTACATTTATAAGGTCCATCTCCACGCTGCACTGCCATGTGTCTTTGAAGGTTTCCCAGAGAACTGAAGGATTTCCCACATTCTTTACAATCATATGGTTTCTTTCCAGTGGGAGGACTTTCAGGTGTTTGAAATGAGTTGTGGTAACTGAAGGCTTTCCTACACTGTTTATGTGTATCTGGCTTCTCTCCACATTCATGTGGTTTGTGCCCAGCATCAACTCTGATGTAGCAATTAAGGGATGAATGACCCACAACGATTTCTTCACACATACTGCTTTCACATGGATCTACTTCAGGAAAAGTGTTCTTGTTCACAATACTATCCTGAATCTGGCTAGATGTTTTGCCACATTGACTTCCATCTTTACTTTCACCAAATCTCTCTAACATATAACATCTGTAAAAAATGGGAAATATGTCACTAAAGGTTTATAAATCATTTTATAGGTATTAATAGGTATTGGATGTATATTTTTAACATTACTATGTAAACTGTAGGCTTCGTGTCCTGCTTGAATGTGAATGGATGGAATGTTGTACAAGATAGCTCGACCCCAGGTGTTCTCAAGACAATGATATTCATATGTGGATTCCTAATACTGTTGCCATGGGAACTATTTTACAAACACTGAACAGCTATGGAACATTTAAGTATATGTTTTTGGAGAAAATTTTCTAAGGATAAATAAATTTAAGCTAGGCTTGTTCATTTTCTTTGGTTGTTTTCAAAATTTCATGTCACCAGGCACGGTGGCTCATGCCTATAATCCCAGCGCTTTAGGAGGCCAAGGCGGGTGGATCATGAGGTCAGGAGATCAAGACCATCCTGGCATTTTTGTATTTTTAGTAGAGAAGGGGTTTCACCATGTTAGGGCAGTCTCGAACTCCTGACCTCAGGTGATCCACCCACCTTGGCCTCCCAAAGTGCTGGTTATAGGTGTGAGCCACTGTACCTGGCCTGACAAAAAGTTATATGAAGATGTACAACTGCAATGGTTTTCAACAACATGATGAAACCCCATTTCTACAAAAATACAAAAAACTAGCCGGGCATAGTGGCGCACATCTGTAGTCCTAGCTACTTGGGAGGCTTAGGCAGGAGAGTCGTTTGAAATCAGGAGGCAGAGGTTACAGTGAGCTGAGATCACACCACTGCACTCCAGCCTGGTGACAGAGAGAGACTGTCTCAAAAATAAAATAAAATTAAATTAAATTAAATTTCATATCATTCTCAGAACAGCTCCAGGGACCTATCTTTCTCCTGTGAGTATAAATTACCTTAGATTTTTCCTGGGGTATCTGTACTGATCTTCAATGTTCTGGTCTTTCCATTTCATTCCTAAAAGGTAGACCCAGAAAAATCATTATAAATTTTTACAAAATTATAGACAAATAGTAAGATTTTGATGTACACTGCAATCATGCAAAATGCATTCACTGAAGTACAGTTGACTCTTGAAAAACAGAAGTTTGGCTGGGTGCGGTGGCTTAAGCCTGTAATCCCAGCACTTTGGGAGGCCGAGGCGGGTGGATCACGAGGTCAAGAGATCGAGACCATCCTGGTCAACATGGTGAAACCCCGTCTCTACTAAAAATACAAAAAAATTAGCTGGGCATGGTGGTGCGTGCCTGTAATCCCAGCTACTCAGGAGGCTGAGGCAGGAGAATTGCCTGAACCCAGGAGGCGGAGGTTGCGGTGAGCCGAGATCGCGCCATTGCACTCCAGCCTGGGTAACATGAGTGAAACTCCGTCTCAAAAAAAAAAAAAAAAAAAAAAGAAAAACAGAAGTTTGAACTGCACAAGTCCATTTATAAATACATGAATGTTCTTCAGTCTCTGCTATCCAAGACAGTGAGACCAACTACTCTTCTTACTCAGCCTACTCAATGTAAAGACAATGATGAAAATCTTTCTGATGATGTGCTTCCACTTAATGAACAGTAAATATAGTTTCTCTTCCTTATGATTATCTTACTAACATTTTTTGTTTCTTGCTTACTTTACTGTGAGAATACAGCATGTAATAATATGACATAAAATATACGTATTAATCACTGCTTATGTGATAGACAATGCTGCCTGTCAACAGTAGGCTAAGATGTTGTCGACAAAAAGTTTTTATTTTTTTGTTTGTTTTTGAGACAAAGTCTCACTCTGTTGCCCAGGCTGGAGTGCAGTGGCGCAATCTTGGCTTACTGCAACTTCTGCATCTCAGGTTCAAACGATTCTCCTGCCACAGCCTCCTGAGTAGCTGAGATTACAGGTGCGTGTCACCATGCCCAGCTAATTTTTGTATTTTTAGTAGAGAAGGGGTTTCACCATGTTAGTCAGGGCAGTCTTGAACTCCTGACCTCAGGTGATCCACCCACCTTGGCCTCCCAAAGTGCTGGTTATAGGTGTGAGCCACTGTACCTGGCCCGACAAAAAGTTATATGAAGATGTACAACTGCAATGGGAACTGGCACCCCTAAATCGGTTTCTTCTTTCCAGGGCCAACCATATCCCCTTTCCATATTCCAAATATTTGAACAGCATGAATGACTAAGAAACAAATGTCTCCAATTAATTAAGTGGAAATGCGATGTCATCCTTACCTACACAATCCAGGTTCCTGATGGTTTCTTGCATCACATCTTTGTAGAGATTCTTCTGACAAGGACCCAGCAAAGCCCATTCTTCTCGGGTGAAGTTCACAGCCACATCCTCTAAAGCCACTGAGGCCTGATCCATCCCACATGTACAGAGGAGGAAGGGTGAAAATCACAGTACTGATAATCTATACTCACTTCATAAACTTCACATGACGCTGTGGTTTCCAACCATTTTATTCAATGAAATGGTAAACCCACTCTTATTCTGTCTACACTCACTTTCTCCCACGCATTAACTCTGAAGCTAGAATTAAACATGTTTAGTAAATTAACAGTTGAATAGAAACTTGCCACTTGTTGGTGAACTAAGTGAGTGAATCACGTAGCCTGGATCACCCCTAATGTCTATTCCACAGTGGGTTTGCAGTCCTTGGCATGATAAAGTTCTACTACTTATTGTGCAACAGAGAGTTACCATTAGCAGTCCTGAGACTACAAATCCTTACAAATGCTTGATCACAAAGTTGGGCCTTTCATGGTGTCTAGACAATGTATTCAGGGGAGGGCCCCATGAGCATAACAGAAGTGGAGTGTGCCTAAACTGTTTATGCAAAAATATATATATTATTTCCTTAACTCCCATCTTCCTTCTGAGAGTTTAGAATTTTGTTACATACTCAGCAGAGGGAGTGTACCTGATCAGCCACTGCTAGGTTTGAATGGTTGTCCCTTCCAAAATGCACACAGAATGTTAATCTCCAAAGTGGCAGTTGGAAAAAAAAAAAAAGGTGGGGTTTTAAGAGGTAATTTAGTACTGAGGGTTTGGACCTCATGAATAGATTAATCCATAATGGGTGAATAAATGAGCTATCTCAGGAGTAGGACTCATGTCCTTCTAGAGAAAGACATCTGAGCTAGATACTCCATTCCCTCACCATGTGATACTCTATGTCACCTAGGGACTCTGCCGAGTTCCCACCAGCAAGAAGGTTCTCACCAGATGTCCAGCCTTAATCCTGGACTTCCCAGCCTCCAGAAATGTAAAAACTAAATACTGTTTCTTATAAATTACCCAGGTTCAGTAATTCTATTATGAATAACAAGAAACAGGCTAAGATAGCTACAAAGAAACACTCTGGGCATTGGCTCTATAATGAACTTTCTGAGTAGATAAAATTTCACATATTTTGTTGCAACTTGTTCTTCGGGGGATTCAGCCCATCCTACCTCTTACAGAGAATATTTGGAAGCTGGCAGCTAGTTTCCCCTAAATCAAATGTAGTGAAGTATGACAAAAAACTAACAAAAGATATTTCACCATCTCAATGAAAAAGATTTAAACATTTTTTTGAGTAATGCCAAAAGAGAAGGAAAGAAGGGGAAATACTGTACATGTTCTTAGAAAGAACTCAATGTCATCTCTCATGAATATTTATAATACTTCCTAAATAACTAAAACAGATCTTTTAGTAGTCAACAAAAATTACATTACCAAATCTAATAGAACTCACAATATCTAAAAAAAATGCTGGAAACCTTCTCACCAAGAAAGTGCAGCTTTTCAAAGACAGAAAAGGATTTTGAAAGTGTAATATTTGGCACCCTATACTATTAACAGAGAGATAAACATATATATAAAGAAAATGAAAACTTGTAGAAAAGTCTTGTGGAATTTTTATTTGTTCTTGGCCCAATCCCTCCCCCTATCAATGCCAGTTTTCAACACAGCAGCCCAAGTTCCCGGTATAGAACCCTGGACGCTGATTCTAGAGACAGCAGATCAGATTTTATTTGAAAATTATTGCCTCTGTATTTTCCAATCTGTATAAGGACTATCCAATGGTCTGAAACAAGGCTCTCTTTTCTTTTTTTTTTGAGACGGAGTCTCGCTCTGTCACCCAGACTGGAGTGCAGTTGTGTGACCTTGGCTTACTGCAACCTCTGCCTCCTGGGTTCAAGCAATTCTCCTGCCTCAGCCTCCCGAGTAGCTGGAAGTACAGGTGTGCTCCACCACATCTGGGCAATTTTTGTATTTTTACTAGAGACGTGGTTTCACCATGTTGGCCAGGCTGGTCTCAAACTCCTGACCTCAAGTAATCTGCCTTAGCCTCCCAAAATGCTAGGATTACAGGTGTGAGCCACCACACCCAGCCAAGGCTCTCTTTTCGATTCCAGCTACAATATAACACAATCAGGGTCAAACTTGGCAAGAACTGCATGAAAATGTTGCAAAATACACAAAAAGCCTCCAGCCAACTGGAAGAACAGACTATGATTAAGACATACAGTAGATCAACTAAGTCATGGGGAAAAAGAGCTGAAGAGAAAATATCCTCCAGATACTAGAATACTCAAAAGCACCCAGGTATTCTGGGGAATTGAGAAAGCCCCATGCACGCACAGTAAAGAATACATTTTCACAAAAGATACCTGAGAAGAAACCCTCATTTTCAGTTCTAGCTGATCTGTAGGTTTAGTTAAGCAGAACGTAAAGGCTAAAGTAGAGTATTAAACAGCCTGGCTTAGTGTTCAAGGAATGCCCCAGGACAGAGCCATCCACAAAGACTAGAAGAGGTCGGGCTTTTGTGTGCTTTATCTCTTTTTACTAGCTTCTAGCATTCAGGAAATCTCTGTCAGAACACTGGATGAACACACACTAAAGAACAAAGATGTTGGACAGTGTGGTGCTTCACACCTGTAATCCCAGCACTTTGGGAGGCTGAGGCAGATGGATCACAAGATCAGGACTTCAAGACCAGCCTGGCCAAGATGGTGAAATCCCATTTCTGCTAAAAGTACAAAAAATTACCTGGGTGTGGTGGCATGTGCCTGTAGTCCCAGGTACTTGGGAGGCTGAGGCAGAGAACTGCTTGAACCTGGGAGGCAGAGGTTGCAGTGAGCCAAGATTGCGCCACTGCACTTCAGCCTGGGCAAGCCAGGCTCTGTATCAAAAAAAGAAAAGAAGTCAATGAAGGCACAAAAATTATTTCCTTTTCTTATTCCTATTGGGTATCATAAAAGTTTGTTCAAAAAATAACATCAACAATGTACTGAGTGGTTATAGTTTATAATAGGGCAAATGGATGACAGTGATGTTAAACTGGGCGGGAAGGAGGAATTCTGAACACTGTGTTATACTAGCATGACTCCATTAGGCAGTACAATGTTATTTAAAACTGAAGGTTCATTTGTTGTGAATGGTTTACTCCAAATGCTAGGGAATCCAATAATAAATTTTTTTTTTAGTCGGTTTTTTTTTGAGACGGAGTTTCGCTCTTGTTACCCAGGCTGGAGTGCAATGGCGCAATCTCGGCTCACCGCAACCTCCGCCTCCTGGGTTCAGGCAATTCTCCTGCCTCAGCCTCCTGAGTAGCTGGGATTACAGGCACACGCCACCATGCCCAGCTAATTTTTTGTATTTTTAGTAGAGACAGGGTTTCACCATGTTGACCAGGATGGTCTCGATCTCTTGACCTCGTGATCCACCCGCCTCGGCCTCCCAAAGTGCTGGGATTACAATAATAAAATTTAAGAAACAACAGCCTATCACAGTGCCTCATGTAATGCCAACACTCTGAGATGTAAGACAGAGGATTGCTTAAGCTCAAGAGTTTGAGTCCACACTCAGCAACACAATGAGACTCTGTACAAAAAGTGAAAAAAAGGCCGGGTGCAGTGACTCACACCTGTAACCCCAGCACTTTGAGAGGCCGAGGTGGGAGGATCACAAGGTCAAGAGATCAAGACCATCCTGGCCAACATGGTAAAACCCCATCTCTATTAAAATACAAAAATTAGCTGGGTGACACCAGTCCCAGCTACTCAGGAGGCTGAGGCAGGAGAATCACTTGAACCCAGGAGGCAGAGGTTGCAGTGAGTGGAGACTGCACCACTGCACTCCAGCCTGGAGACAGAGCAAGGCTCTGTCTAAAAAAAAAAAAAAAAAAAAAAAACAAAAAACTAGCCTGGTGTGGTGGCCTGCACCTGTAGTCCCAGTTACTCAGAAGAGCAAGTATGGAAGATCTCTTGAGCCCAGGAGTTGGACATGACAGTTAGCTATGATTGCTCCATTGCACTCTATTATAGGTGATAGAGCAAGACCTTGTACAAAGAAAAGAAAAGAAAGGAGGAAGGGAGGAAGGGAGGGAGAGAGGGACCCCAGCTACTCTGGAAGCTGATACAGAAGAATCGATTGAACCTGAGGGGGTAGAGGTTGCAGTGAGCCAACATCGTGCCACTGCACTCCAGCCTGAGCAACAGAGCGAGACTCTGTCTCAAAAAAAATGGGGGGGGGGAGGCGAGGGGAGGGGAGAGAGAGAAATAAGTAGACTTCCCATACTATTAGAAGAAAACGAAATCATATAGAATGCTCAGTTAAAATAAAATGAGGTGGAAAAAGAAAGGAAGTAGAAAAACACCCAACAAGTATGACACATATAAAACAATTATATATGTACATATGAATCCAAGTACATCAATAGCCACTTTAAATGTACATTATATGAATATACAAGAAGACAGATACTGACAGAGTAGAATGAAAAAAAAAAACAAGACCTGGCCAGGCACAGTGGCTCACACCTGTAATCCCAGCACTTTGGGAGGCGGAGACAGGCAGATCATAAAGTCAGGAGTTTGAGACCAGCCTGATCAACATGGTGAAACCCCATCTCTACTAAAAATACAAAAGCTAGACAAGTGTGGTGGCATATGCCTGTAATCCCAGCTTCTCAAGAGGCTGAGGCAGGAGAATTACTTGAACTGGTAGGCAGAGATTGTAGTGAGCCAAGATTGTGCCACTGTACTCTCCAGCCTGGGTGACAGAGTGAGACTCCATTTCAAAAAAAAAAAAAAAAAAACCAAGACCCATCGCTGTGTGCAAGAAAACTATTTTTTTATTCTCTCAAGAAAACTATTTTAAGTAGAAAGACACTGGTACATTAAATATAAAGGTATGAAAATATATATACCATTCTAGCCCTAATCAAAAGATATATGGGGCCAGGCACGGTGGCTCACACCTGTAATCCCAGCACTTTGGGAAGCTGAGCCAAGCAGATCATCTGAGGTCAGGAGTTCAAGACCAGCCTGGCCAACATGGCGAAACCCCACCTCTATTAAAAATACGAAAAAACCCCAGCTTGGCCAACAAAGCAAAACCCTATCTCTTAAAATACAAAAATTAGGCCAGGTGCAGCTGCTCATGCCTGTAATCCCAGCACTTTGGGAGGCCAAGGCGGGTGGATCACCTGAGGTCAGGAGTTCAAGACCAGCCTGGCCAACATGGTGAAACCCCATCTCTACAAAATAAAATAAAAAAAAAATACAAAAATTAGCTGGGCATGATGGCACGCACCTGTAATCCCAGCTACTCTGGAGGCTGAAGCAGAATTGCTTGAACCCAGGAGGCTGAGGTTGCAGTGAGCCAATATCATGCCACTGCACTCCAGCCTAAGCAAGAGAGAGAGACTGTCTCTCAAAAAAAAAAAAAAAAAAAAAGTGGGCATCAGCCTCAAGCCGTGGTCAAAGCTACTCACCCTTCTATTGCTTTACATGGATATTTAAAAACAAAATACTCATGTTTGATGAATCCAGGAAAATCACTCAAATTCAGTGTTTATGTTTATGGGTGGGAAGGAAATCATAAGGCACCTACATTCTATATAGCTCAATAGGAAATGCACAAATATCTATCCATTTCAGACAATGAATGCCATTTAATTACTACTTCCATGATAGTAAGCCATATAGTGAAAAAAAAATATATTTTACTTTTTTAGCTGTTGCAAAGTCCTGTCCCACAGAATTTAGCACTAATCTGCCAAACCCACATAACAGGAACAGAACAGACTACTCCATTGTTCCAAAATCTCCACCCTGAAAGGAGGAGGAAATGAACTTTTGTTAAATCTTTTAAATTCAATCAATGTACCTACTACACTTTGTTGTAAAAATGTATTCTTTTTTTTTTTTTTTTTTTTTTTTTGCAGCTATAAGGAAAGAGGGTTTTTCCCAATTATTTTTCCTTGGTAGTAGTTATACTACTAAACCCTGAAATTCCATCTGAAATTATCCAAAAAACAAACACACCAGAGAAACATACTACACAAGCTTTGGCGTAAAAATCAATAAATAAAGGTTTTAAAAAAATGGAATAGAAGATTACATATTCTGAAATCCAACTCTTTCTAGAATTAAATATACAATTTATTTTCTGAAGTTCAACTCTGGGAATACTTTGTCTTCACTAACAATCTTTTTTTTTTTTTTTTTGAGACGAAGTCTCACTGTTACCAGGTTGCATTGCAATGGCATGATCTTAGCTCACTGCAACCTCCACCTCCCAGGTTCAAGTGATTCTCCTGCCTCAGCCTCCCAAGTAGCTGGGACTACAGGTACGTGCCACCACAACCAGCTAATTTTTGTATTTTTTTTTTTTTAGTAGAGACAGGGTTTCACCATGTTGGCCAGGATGATCTCCTCTCTTGACCTGGTAATCCGCCCACCTTGGCCTCCCAAAGTGCTGGGATTATGGTTCACTAATAATCTCTAATCATAGGATGCATTTTACAGTTAATCAAAAATTTAGGCTGAAAAGAGTAAACATATCTTTTCAAGGTAACCAACACAGGAATGAGCAGTGCTGACTGGAACATATCAAAGTCTAATGCAAGTATCAGGGCATGTCATCCTATCACCAGGGACATCCCATAACCCTATTTTGATCACCACCCTCCCAGGAGACACTGTCTTGTGTGTTTTCCAGGCTCTTGCACTACCTCAACGAGCAGGTTTTCTAGTCCTTAGATTTAACTTTCTTTCTTTTAAGTTTGAGAGTCCAGAAGGCAGAAATCATTTCTGTTTTTTTTTTCCATGGAATACAACCATGAAACTGGCTGATCAATGTGTACCCAAGGAATGGAAACTAGGGTTGGAAAAGAAAAGGTGAGTGTCCCAGGGATTAGCTTTTTATGGGAATGATACACCACAAGATTCCTTCTACCCCAGGGGATCCAGTTGCTCCCCAGGAAGCCCCATGCCCCCTATCTCAGGCTGTCCTCTGGGAGGAGTGACCCAGGGGCTCATATTCACTAGAGACTTGGCAGCTGTGGGCATCCATTTTTTTTGAGTCTGCCTCTGTTGCCCAGACTGGGATGCAGAGGTACGATCATGGCTCGCTACAGCTTCTAACTCCCTGGCTCAAGCCATCATCCCACCTCAGCCTCAGGAGTAGCTGCGACTGCAAGTGCCGGCTACCAAGTCCTGCTAATTTTATTATCATTTATCTAGAGACAAGGTCTTGCCATGTTGCCCAGGCTGGTCTGGAACTACTGGGATCAAGCAATGCCTCTGCCTCAGCCTCCCAAAGAGCTGGAATTACAGGAATGACCCACCGTGTTCAGGAACCCAGAACAATTATTTCAAGAAAAAGGTATACATTGCTAGCTGAAAACAAGATGACAAACTAGTGAAATATCGCCTGGGGGCCAAAGACTTCATAAAGTTGCTATGAATTGGGGAGACAGTCTGGGGAAGGCTCTGGAAACCAAGAGATCTGCTGCCAGCCCTAGGAGCAGTTAGACTGAGGGGACAGGGTGATAGATTTCACACCCTGCTGCCCACATCTCTGCAAGACTCGAAGGAGAAACGGTCGCCTTTGGAAAGAAAGAAAGGACTAAGGACCACAGAGACCACAGCTCCTCCCACACACAAACCCCACACACAAGTCTGGATTCTGCCTGGTGACCCTTCCGTCGTCACCGTGCAGCGTCCTCACCGGGTTCACAGGAACTGCGAGTGATGCTGGAGGCGAGATTGCAGCTGATATTAACCAGGTGCCCTCAGCCCCGTCGCCTCACGGGGCCGCCTCCCTGAGAGTCAGGTCACAGCAGACGCCGGCTTCCCCACTGTCCCTGGGGATAAGATCTCTGAGAGCCGCTCAAGAGTCACCTGAGTTATTTCTCAGACCCTGAATTCCAACGGAAAGGCTGGTGCTAAACAAGCTGGTGCTAAGCAGGCTGAAGACCCCACAAGGGAGCCCACTTAGCAGGAAAACGCGGTTCTTCACCTCCGGTCCCAGAATTCGCCCCTCACTTCCCCACCAACCAGCGACCCCACACCCCAGCCGCCCCTATGCAGATCACAAATCCCTCAGGGAGGCGGATCTGGGGTGTCCTCCCCTCTCCCCCTATTAAACTGTTCCTGCGCCAGCCCTCGGCGTCTCAGTGCAGACTTGGGCCGCGAACCCGTGCGGGTTACAGCCGCACAATCTGAGGACACTCGGGGCTGCAGGCGCGGAGCTGCCCAGAGAGGGCGCAGTCTCCGCGCAGGCACAAGACAGCACGCCCGGAGTCCTGGCTGCCAGTCCAGCCCCACCCTGCGGCCCAGAGGACCGAGGGCCGACCTGCACCAGGGGTACCTGAGTCCGCAGACCCCGAAGTCGCCCGCGGGGACGCCCGGGTCCCTCCACAGCCGGTTCCGGCCGGTTCCACCCAGCCCCTCCCCCGCCTCGGGACGCCGGCCCCGGCACACACACCATTTCCCGACTTCCGCGGTGTCCCAGGTCCTCCCAACGGCTCCCGCTGCCAATACGGGCTCCAGGGCGACAAAGGCTGCCACAGACTTTCCAGGTCGTCTCTCAGTGACGGAGCCCGCAGCCTACCGCAGGTGGGTGGAGAAGACGCGGCGGGCTTTTTCAACCACACACCCACCTCAAGGCAGCGCGCTTGATTGACAGCTCCCACGACCCCGCCCCACGGCCCTGATTGGATACAGCGTCAGGTCCCGCCCCCTGCGGACTGATTGACAGAAGACGCGATCTTGCACAGCTGAGTGGAGCCGGATGAACAAGTTCCTGACACAGTCCCTGGCAGAGCGGTCTTCCTCCCTGCACTGTGACCTGAACTCTCCCGGGGGACATTTGCACTTAAGCGGAATTTCCTGCCGGTACTCAATAGGACTTGCTGCTTCTTCCTCCTGGATACGGACTGACAAACCAATTATACTCTTTTAGTGATTTTTCAATGTACAATTAAATTACATTTTTACTATAGTCACTCTGTTGTGCTAGCAAATACTAGGTCTAATTCTTTTTTTTTTTTTTTTTTGAGACACTGTCTCTCTTTTTCGTCTTTCCCCCCCCCCCGCCCCCCGGGTTCAAGCGATTCTCCTGCCTCAGCCTCCCGAGTAG